GGTAACAACGAGAAAAAATGAAAAACCAGCAGAAACTTCAGATGCAACACCAGGGAAGGGGCAGTCCAGCTCTGGTGATGTTTCAACCCGACCAGAACTACACAAAAAACCATCCGAAGAACAGCCATCATCAACAGCACCACAAGCACCAGCACCTGCAGCAGCGGCACAAATAAAAAACGAAAGCACCACATCTGCAGATGTCGTTTCAGGGCAACAGATAAAAGAAGAATCTCAACACGACATGCAATCAGAAGGTACTTCAGGGAAAGAAGAAAACGTCCCCACCACAGTCACCAAAAAAGACGGACCAACAGAAAGTAACGCCGAATCAACTCCAACAACACCCTCAGCTTCCAAAGATGCCATTACAAATGACGATGAGAAAAGCAATGAAGAAGAGATTCCGAAACATGATCAAACACCTGATGGTGAGACGATGAACGAAGCCTCACAAGTTGGAAATAACGAAGGAAATACAACGAAAACACAAACTGTCGAAGCCGCAGCTATAACAAATAATACTGCGAAGACTGGCGAAAGCGACAGCAGCACCGCGGCCTCCCACACCACCTCCCCTCTTTTGCTTCTTCTTGTTGTTGCGTGTGCGGCTGCTGCTGCGGTGGTGGCTGCGTGAGAGTGAGGGAGAGAGAGCCGTGCACCGCCCGCACACACACTCTTCCTTCTCTCTCTGTGTGTGTGTCCCCTTGCATGGACTCTCGCCCTCACCTCACCCCACGAAGCACACACATAATGTGCCCATTGTATATATGCATGCACACCCATGCAGGCCCGTTGGTGCTCTCTTTTGCACGACACGCACCGCTGCCGTCCTGCCTGGCTGCATGGGCGGAGCACCGTAACTGTTTCTGTTTTGTTTCCATTGCATTGAGTGGGCGACCTCTCTCTCTCTCCCTGTGTGTGTGTGTTTTGCTTTACGGGAGCAATGAGAGTGTGTGCGCTGGTCGTCCCATGCTTCGGCATTTTTCTCTTTTGTTTTTTGAATCTTTGCTTGTTTTGTGGTTGGGTGCACCCATTTTAATTTCATTGATTGGTTTTCTTCTTAAATTGCGGATGGCTGAATTTTCTCTTTTGTATTCTCCTGTTCTGTGTTTCTTCCCACGCAATCGGTCCTTGTTGCTTCAGCGAGCCAAGAAATATTTGCTTAACACCCACATCAATGGCTTACTTGCTCTACACCCCACATTAGTTTGAGACGCTGGTGCTGCTGCATGTGATGATGTTTATGGTGTGATTGCCAGCGGGTGCTTTGCTGTCACTTTGACGTACCCTCGATTTGTTGAATATGTTATGCGTGCCGACAGCACGAATTGGATCCGCGTTGTTGTGAGGGACGCACACTTTTTGAGCGGTGAGTGCGCTGCAGCCATACACCGTCATTGGGAGGGATGGATGCCCATCCGCATCAACGTATCCACAAGGGACCTGGATGATGCCGGGAAGCATTGGATCTCAGAGAGGTACTACGCAATGAATTCATTGAATGACAATTGCGAGTGTGAAGGTGACGTTGTATCCTCTGCGCACGGGATCATTCTCGAGAATGAATTTGTCCCTGCTGCTTTCAAACCGCATGCGCATTGTCTGCTCGTGCAGCCACTGGAGGGTCCTTTGATTGTGCCCCCATTTGTCACGGGCAGCGTTTGCCTTCGGTTTACGGTGCGTGCTGGACATTGTTCCACTGGTGTTGCCAATGCTGACATGGTGTGTGTGGCAGAACGCCGTCGGTGGTGGTGCACTCGACGACTGCCGTGGTGGCTGCGAGGAGCCCCGCGACTGCGACGACATTGATGGCATGGAGCTGCAGGATGGCGATGGGGACGGGAGGACGCTGGAGTCGCACTGGTCGCAGCGCCACGCGAAGGATGAGTGGATGTCACCGATTGGTTGTGCCGGCTGCCGCACGGAGCTGACGCTGACCGCACCGGCTGACCTGGGCTGCATGAGGGTGAGGTGGGAGATGGCGGAGCCGATTCGCTGGTGAAGGAATTCGTGCTGTGCGCTGCTGCAGAGGAAGTGCTCCGCACCGAAAATGAGTGAATATCCCCAGATGTTCTGCGAAACGGGAGTTCCTGCCAGTCGCTGCACGTTGGATCGGTATTCCAGTGGTTGGTGTGTAGACGGAGTATCCATGAAGGGTCAGCAAAACGCCCGATGGACAGTTGCCCCATCATTGGTCCCGCACTGGATGTGAGAAATGCTGTCGCTGTTATTTTGAGGGGAGAATGTTTGTCTGCGGTGCCTGGGGACAAGCCCGCTTCGTGGTGTCTGGACACGCCTCCCACCAACACGATGGATGCGAGGGACCCGGAAGAGACATACATCTCGGTGCTGTCATGCATGTGGCATTGCGGTGCCTCAGCATGCAGTTGCGTCTGTGATTGACTGAAAAGGGTAACGCCTGTTGTGCCCCATGCACTGACGAGACGACGATTACGTGGGTTGCTCCACCCTACGACGAGGGAAAAGCTATTTTCCGTGACCACGCGCAGGTGTGCACGATATCCGCCACCAGCGGCAGCCTCCTTCCAGTGTTTCCGTGGGACGGCGAGGAGAGGGCGTGTGGAGCAGGACGGTTTCACTGGCATCTGCTGAACAAGCTTTGCTACGGGCATCCGTCCCCGTTGCGGGGAGCATCGAGATCGGCCGCTGCACACCACCGAAGGACGTAGATGCGGCTGCTCCCCAGAAGCATCCGTCGCCAGAGGAGAAGTGGATCCGGCCAGGACGCCCCGACAGACCGCAAGAAGCTTCTCTCGGCGGCAGGGACCGAAGCAGCGAGAAGGACGGCAAGTAGGACACGCGTCCGACTCCCGGTGATGACACTGTTGCTGCTGCTTGTCCCTGTCCGCTGCTTCTTCTGCTTGCCTCTACTGCCGCCGTGGCAACACTCTATGGAATTGCGGTGTGGACGGCGTTGCGCTGCGAGGCGACTGCGCTTCCTCCTGCGTGGCCCGCACTCAGCATTGGATTTCCAATAGAAAAACATCTATTTCAATGGGTGCCGTTCTCCATATGCATGTGCTGTGTCAACTCCGTTTGACTTTTATTTGAGATTGGTTGTGTTTCCGATGCACACAGCTCTTCTTATGTTGGTTGCCGATGTTGGGCCACCGTATGGTATTATGGCATTGCTTGTGTGTTTGTTAGATTTTCTGAGACGCATATACACACACCGGTGCGAGTGGAATGTGCACACACAAGACAAACACACACACATATCCAAGCACATTGTCTGTGTGAATTGTACTTGACATATTATGCGGGGCGGATTGGTGCGGTCAAGGCCGACGGAGGCGGGGCAGCCGCGTGAGCCCAGCAATGGCGTTTGTGGTTGTGTGCAGGATCATATATTCCATCAGATGCTTGACGCCGTTCATGGATCGTTTAAAGTTTTTTCTGCGATGCCCATGCTGCGTCTGTGCTGAGCTGCTCACTGCGTCTTCATGATCTCATGGAGCACGGCGTGACGCTGCTCGAGAACCCCCTGACGCCGCGGCAGCCGATTATGAGTAGCCCTGCGCGCTACTTTTTTGCCGTGGAGGATGCGTCTGTGGGCCGCGTGGTTGAGGATTGGATGGCAAAGGTCCCGTGCAGGGATGCACACATCTTTGCGTTGGGGTACACCCCGCATCGCAGTCCTCAGCAACTGGTGTGGGTTCGGATAGCGCCGAGGGCGATGCGTTCCAAGGTCATTATGTTAGACTTCACCGCCCCTGAGGTGCTGGTTTTCCACCTCAGCATGCAGAATGGGTTCCCTCAGCTGCTGTCGCCGCTGTCGCCTCCGAATTAATGGTCCGTTTTGGATGTTGTGGCGTCACGTCCTGTGGCGGCTATTCACGCCATGAACAACGGTGTGCCTGTTATTCGCTACCAAAGCAGAAGCAGCATCTGCCATGGGTTTGCTAGGAATTTCTTTTAGAGGCTTGCCAAGCTCTGCTACGACGAGCCGGATTTCACTTAGGGGCGCCGACAGCCGCGGCAACCCGGTGCGGATCATCGTTGATTGGGGCTGTGTCACGGTGACGCCGCTGATGCAACAACGCACATGTCGGTGTCTGCTTGATGACCTGATGCCGCTGGAGAATAACTTGTATGAGCAGACCCGTAGGAATCGTCTGGGTGTGGACTCGAAGCGGCAGCAATTGGTGGATGAGGAAGATGTGTACTGGCGCTCCTACCGTCATTGATTCCTTGCGCAGTGCATGGAGGAGCTTTCGGTGGCGCTGAAAAAACTCCACGCGTATCACCCGGGATTGGCGCATGGCGTGGAGCCGAAGGCCAATCTTGCGGAGTTGGGCAGTGCGGTGCGGGCTCCGCCGGAGTTTCGGGAGAGGCAAGCCAGACTGTCGCTGCACATCGATATTTGCGCGAGGCTTGTGGCACAGTACTGGGAGAAGCGACTGGCGGAGGTGCGGGAGGTGGAACAAGACATCGCCGTTGGGCACAAACCCCTCAGGAAAAACCTGGATGGCGTGCGGCGACTGGCGAGGGATGCCGCAATGCCCCTGCCAGTGCGTCTGCGTCTTCTGTTGCTTGTGACTGCGAGCAGCACCGACGAGTTGACGGAGGCCAAGAAGCAGCAGCTGATCCGAGACGGTGGACTGACGCCCGACGCCCATTTGTTTGCGAAACTTGAGCATGTGACGAGGAAGGCCGGGAGCGTGCAGCAATACAGCACGGCGTCGGCGCAGAGCGGACGGAGCACGAGTGCCTCTGCGAGCAACGCCGCGACGGACGAGGATCCGCTTCTGAAACAGGCCTGTATGATGATGGAGACGGACAGGAATAGGACGCTGCGGGTTGGGCTGTCGTTGGCATCGGTGGAGCGCGATCATGCGATGGGGCCAAATGGCGCGAGTGGAGGCAAAACAGTGGAGCGTGAAGGAACAACGCCGGGCCATTTCAAGGGTGTGGTGGCAAATGGGAAATCATCCTGATCTGGGTGGCGGTGGTTGTGGTGGGATGATTGCCCTCACAACTCCGCAGCGCATTGTGCTGCTTGTTTTGGGTGGTGTGGACTGCAGCGAGAGGCGCTCAGTCCATGAGATATCCAAAAGGTATGGCCGTGAGGTGGTCATTGGGGAGCCTCGCTGCCGCGTCCTGAGGTGTGTTTGTGCAGGGACTTGGCACCCTACGGCACTGTGACTCACGGGCGAGGCACGCACAGGAATGCATCAAGGGCCAAAGAGTGGGAAGTATACAAACACACACGACTGAGGGTGTCCATTGGGATTGTGTGCGCTTCTTCCTGCATTCAGTTCCTCTCCAAGAAGTGTTCCATACGATGCGCGTGTGCGTGTTTCAACGGCTGCGCTGCTCGCCTTTTGCTTTTTTTCTTTTGCGTGTGCGGTCGCAAGTCATTTCTTTGCTACGATGAAGGCGGTTAAAAAAGGAAGGAAATTTGTGGAGCATGCACCCACGGCTTCAGTGTTCATCCACTGGTGCCGACTTTTTTTGCCAGGGCATTTGTGCACGCTTTTCCCTCCAATGTTTATTTTTTTTTTACACAGGAGGCAACGGGTGGGCATTCGTGAGTGCTGCGGCGGGCTTTTGTTGCCCTCGCCGGGACGCGCTTAACGGCGGCAGCTCCATGACTTTGTGCACAAAAGGAATGGGACTTTCTCCGGATTTTCACCGCAGGCGCATGCCATGGACGGCCGAAAAAGAGTGTGTGCCCGGTGTTGTTCATAGCTCCAAGGAAAAGATGGTGTTGGATGGCGCACGACGAGTGGATGTGGATTGTGTTGACCGTGCATCGCAGGTGTATTCGCTGGAGGCATTGTGGGCGACTGTGGCCAGTTACGAGTACAATACATTTAGACAGAAGAACATTTTAAATTGGTCTCTCAGGCGGAATCAATGTACTTGGGCAATGGGCTTACCGCGAGGATTGGCAGGAGGGGACGCACGACGAGGACGCCACTCGCACCGCCATTCATTTCCGTCGCCACGGCAGCAACACAGCCTCATGAGACTACACTCCTTGCGGATTTTCCGGGGTGGCATGCACTGTTCTGTTTGTCGTCTTTGTTTCCCCATCCCGAGCGTCGGTGCAGACTCCCTCGTCGATGCAAGTTCCTATCGATTGCGGACACACCCATTGATTGATGCGGCCGACACCCAGCCCATTGCTGGTGCTTCTGGCATGACTGCCGCACCGCCCCAGCAGCTGGTGCAGTGGAACTGGGGACGAGAACACGGCAGAACAAGTTCAATCGGATGGTGCTGGCAGCCCTGTCAGCGTCTCGCCGACCCCAGCGACCTACCCACACCACAAGCGAGCACAGAAACCGACGGGACAGGGAAGGCATCAACGGACTGTCAGGACACCAGTTGTCTTTCCACATCACTCTCAGTCAAGAAACCGGAAGAATTCACAACAACATCATTCACCAGCAATGAGAAAGGAACAACGACCACCGCCGACAGCGACAGTAGCACCGCGGTCTTCTACACACCACCTCCCCTCTTTTGCGTCTTATTTTCACGTTTGCGTGCTGCTGCTGCTGCAGTGGTGCCCAGGCCTGCATGAAGTGGTGTGCACTGAATATGAACGAATGCCTAAGAAAAATGAATTGTTTTTGTGATGAATATTGGCTAGCCATCCCATGGGCCAACAATCCACGTGATGTGCGGGGACATCCCTTTTTAATTGTTACTTTGCTTTTGTGTTGCTGTGTGCACTGCACCTTCTCTTGTGTGTGTGCGTACCCTCCGTGAGGGGTGCCGGCACGACGGACCGCTCTCGCCGTGTGTACATGCGGTGGAGCCTTGTGTGCCGCTCCTGTTTGCTTCTCCCTCCTCCATCTGTGTGTTGGTGCTGCGGCAGGGCTGTGGTGTGCGGCGTACGGTGCATGCCTGGCTGCTGCCCTCTCCTCATGTGGTGTGCCCTCTGTGTGTGTCTGCCGCACCTCTCGTCTCCCCTGTTGCTCTCCATGTCCCTCACTGTGCAGATCAGCTCCACACCACTGAACGACCACACTCACGATGATGACGTGCCGTCTGCTGTGCGCCCTGTTGGTGCTCGCCCTGTGCTGCCCGTCCGTATGTGTGAAGACGGCTGTCTTGGAAGGAGATAACCGCAGTACGGACTCCGATGCAAAAAAAAAATTAGTGGGAAAACGGTCGGCAAAATGGAAAAGATGGGAGCCCAGAACTGAAGAGCAAAGAGTCAGAGGATGAAAGTGCGAGCGGTACGCAACTCAAAGAAGCTAGGTCCACCGATGGGACGTCCAACAGTGATCGTGCGTCCGATGAGCCAGGGAAAACAAGCACTGTGGATCAATCCGGAAAAAAACGAAAATTGGAGGATCCTGTGGAAAAAACGACGACCACCACAACGAATACAACTACAACAATGGCACCAACTACGACGACCACCACTACAAAAGTGCCAATTACGTCCACTACTGTGCCTGAGGCACCAATTACCACAAATACAGAGGCGCCAACCACAACGACGACTCGCGCACCGTCACGTCCTCGCGAAATCGACGGCAGCCTCAGCAGCTCTGCGTGGGTGTGTGCCCCGCTGCTGCTCGCCGTATCCACGATGGCGTACACCGCTCTGGGCTGAAGAATTGTGCGGGGGCTGTGCGTGCCAGCACTCAGCCACGTGGTTTTTTGCGCGTCTGTTGTGGTCCGATGTAACTAAATAAGAGTAATTATGTTTTGCTTTACTTGCTTCCGCTGCTCTGCTGCGTGGTCCACTTTGCTGCCTCCGTCACGTTGAACGCATCGCAGACACACTCATATGCACGACACGCCCAAAACTGTTTTCGTGGACGCATTTTTGTGTGAGTGCAGGCACACTGAAGCCATTTGGTGCAGCTTGTTTTTTGTGTTTTTACTTGTTTTTACTTTATTGCTGTTTGCTGTTGTTTTTTGTTTTTAATTGTTTCTTGTGTGTTTTTCTCTGTTTACTTGCTGCAGAGATGTGTGTGTTTTTTGTCCTCCCACTGATTCCAACTGCCTCATGGTATGTGCGCTGCTGCTGCTGCCATTTGTCATTTGTGGTGACTGTGGCGTGGTGTAGCGGTCGTGTCTCTCCTTATTTTTGCTTTCACTCTGCGTTGACGTGTTGTTATTTTGTGCTGAGGGCTGCACGCAAGTGACAGGAGTGATGGCGATGATGATGACTGGCCGTGTGCTGCTGGTGTGTGCCCTCTGCGTGCTGTGGTGCGGTGCTGCGGTGGAGGCGGAGGGTGATGGTTCTGGTGGAAGTGCTGAACTTTTGCCGGAATCACAAGAGCCTGAAAAGTCTCCAGAAGGCACGCAAGACTTTGGACATGAAGCAGGAGGTCTTAAAGAAGAATTAACTCCCACATCTGCGGATGAAGATGATGAAGACGATGATGATTATGAAGGGGCGGAAGCTGAAGAAGAAAAACAAATAGAAGGGCAGAGTGGTGAAAAAGGAAATGCTGCACCAGACCCAGTTTCCGGGGAAAAGAAATTAATCGGCACCGAGCAGCAAACACGGCAATCAATTGTATCTGCAGAGGACACTCCTCTTTCTGGCAATCGGGAATCAAATGCCATTCTTACGCAAACGAAGATTGAAGGAACGAAGGACTCCGACAAAAATCCACCTGCGGTAGAGAATCCACTCACAACAGTTAACAGGGAGCAAACACTGCATGCGGAAGGGAATCTTCCACCACTTCCAGAAGTTGATGATTCCCGCGAACACGATGGCAAAGACACCACGAGTGAAGATAAAAAAAATGTTCAGCCGCCTGAGACTGCAGCCACACCAACAAGCCACCGAGACAAAGGCTCAGAAGGGACTGGGGACGATACAAACGCAACGACAGTAACCGCAAACACAACTGATACGACGAACACACAAAACAGCGACAGCAGCACCGCGGTCTCCCACACCACCTCCCCTCTTTTGCTTCTTCTTCTTCTTGTTGCGTGTGCGGCTGCTGCTGCGGTGGTGGCCGCGTGAGAGTGAGTGTGAGAGAGCCATGCACCGCCCGCACACACACTCGTCCTTCTCTCTGTGTGTGTGTCCCCTGCATGGACTCTCGCCCTCACCTCACCCCACGAAGCACACACAATAATGTGCCCATTGTATATATGCATGCACACCCATGCAGGCCCGTTGGTGCTCTCTTTTGCACGACACGCACCGCTGCCGTCCTGCCTGGCTGCATGGGCGGAGCACCGTAACTGTTTCTGTTTTGTTTTTATTGCATTGAGTGGGCGACCTCTCTCTCTCCCTCTGTGTGTCTGTTTTGCTTTACGGGAGCAATGAGAGTGTGTGCGCTGGTCGTCCCACGCTTTATCTTACTTTTTATTGTTTTATTTGTGTTGTGGTTGAGAGCACCCATTCCGCGGCTGCGTGTGTGTGTGATGATATGAGTAATTTGCGTGTGTGCTATCTGCCTCTCTCTGCCGTTGCTTTCTTCAGACTCTCTTGTGCTGAGCGGCTGCTCTGCAATTATAGGCGCTGAAAAAAACGCAAGCATATTGTCACACATACACACACACACACACATGTCATGTGGCACACGCTGTGGAGTGGCGTGAACGCTGAGAACGCACGCATTCACAAGATTCTGGCTGCGGCGGCCCTTGCGAGGACGGAGGACGTTAGCCTTCGATGTGTTTTGTTGATGTGCTGGGGGTGTGGTGTTGCTGGCGTGCAGGCAGTGAGTGGTGTGGCATTGGGGGGTGCCTGGGACAACTGTTGATTGATTCCCGATCAGCAGCTGCAAGTGCTGTCGTGTCTCTCCCGCTGTGGGTCTGTCGTCCGAAGGATTGTTTGGCTCTGCGGGGCGATGCGCGCCTGTGGCGGTTGAGATGCGGTTGCGCTGGAGGAGACAACAGTAAAACGACTGGCGGCAGTACATGTAGGCGTTGCTCGGTGTGTGCTGACGCGTGACGAGTGACACACCCGCCGTTACTTATGCTGTTGGTGGCAGCCGCTGTGTGTTCCCGGTGCACTGTTCTTCCGTCTCGTTCCGTGTGTCTGTGCGCGTGAGTTGTTGTTGTTGGGAGTGAATGCGTTGGGGATGATGATGGTGCCACTCACTGTGGATGGGCGGCGGTGTTTATCATTTCACCCCTTTTTATTAGCCTGTTTTCTTCATTTCTTTTTGGCTCTCACGCTAGGAAAGAAAGCAAACAAGCGCTAATCGCTACTGTGAAATTTGAAGGCACTCAAAGGACCAACAGCACACACCGCCCACACATATTTATATGCTCTCACGTGTTGCTGCAGTGAAGGCACTCCGCACACACAACCGTCGCCGCGTGACCGGATCCAGCGGAAGGAGGAGGGAGGGAAGAGAGAGTGAGCCGCAGAGGCCCAACATGTCCCGGCGTGTGTGTACTTCCGCGCTGCTGCTAATTCTCCTTGTTATGATGGTGTGCTGCGGCACTGGAGGAGCTGCAAAGGCAGAGGATGATCGGTCGTCTGAACCCCAGTTTGAATGGAAGGGCATCACTGATGGTGTTGTAACTGTGGACTCGTTGGGTGTTCCGGGCCTTTTGAAGGTGGGGAGTGATGTGTTTGCCGTTGCCGAAGCGCACTGCAAGGGTGGAAACGGTTTTACTGGCATCGCATCCCAACTACTCTCGATGGATAAGGGTAAAGAACCGAAAGAAGAAGTGCTGAAGAATGCCAAGGAGAAAACACAATTTCTGGAGGAAGTCACTTCCACGGAGAAGAAGAGAGTAGATGTGAGCCGACCAACAACAGTTGTGAAGGAAAATGATATTTACATGCTTGTTGGAAAACACAGCCATGACGCTGCCGGTAGCTGTAAGGCTGGGACTGAGAACATCAAATCGGGAATATTGCTGGTGAAGGGTAAGGTTGGTGAAGGCGACAACAATCAAATCCATTGGAGGGAAACTGACGGTCTCCCGTGCACCCTAGGCGACCAACACGAATCCTGGACAGGGCTGATTGGCGGCGGTGGATCGGGTGTTAAGTTGAACGAAGGTACGCTTGCGTTCCCAGTGGAAGCCACGAAAAAGAGGGAGGACAAAGATGTGAAAACCGCTTTGCTGATTATATACTCCTCGGTTGCTACGAATTGGACGCTGTCGAAGGGGATGTCTGCCGATGGCTGCGGTGATCCCTCCGTCGTGGAGTGGAAGGGAAAACTCATGATGATGACTGCGTGTGATGATGGCCGCCGCAGGGTGTACGAGTCCGGTGACAAGGGGGACTCGTGGACGGAGGCACTCGGGACACTCTCGCGCGTGTGGGGCAACAAACACGAGGAAAATGAGAAGGGCGCTAGAAGCGGGTTCATCATATCGACAATTGACGGTGTTAATGATAAGAGAAATGTGATGCTCGTTACTCTGCCGGTGTATTCCAAGAAGGATGAAAACGAAAAGGAAAAGGGCGTACTCCATCTTTGGCTGACGGACAATACGCACATTGTTGATATTGGGCCGGTATCCGATGATGACGCTGCCGCCAGCTCCCTGTTGTACAAAAGTGGAGATAATAATGAGTTGATTGCACTGTACGAGAAGAAGAAGAAGGGTGATGAAGGAAAACCATCACCTGGTATGGTCTCTGTGCTTCTGACTGCGCAGCTGAAGCGGGTGAAGGAGGTGCTGACGACCTGGAAGGAAGTGGACGACCTTGTCTCCAAGCTGTGCCTCACTTCACGTGCTAAGGGGGATTACTCAACTGCCACTGCCTGCACTACTGATAAGATCACGCATGGGCTGGTTGGCTTTTTGTCCGGCAACTTCTCTGGCACCACATGGAAGGACGAGTACCTCGGGGTGAACGCCACAGTAAATAATGAAGATGGGGCTGCAACGACGGATAATGGCGTAACATTTAAAGGGCGTGGCGCAGGGGCGGAGTGGCCCGTTGGCAAGCAAGGGCAGAATCAGCTGTACCACTTTGCGAACTACAACTTCACTCTTGTGGCGACGGTGTCCATCGACAAGGTGCCGGAGAGTGGCAGCGTCCCTGTGATGGGTGTGAAGGTGAATGATGGCGATAAGAAGAATGCAGTACTTCTGGGACTGTCGTACAACAAAGAAAAGAAATGGATGCTAATGTGCGATGGCAGCGAGAACAAGGAGCTCAGCAGCTCTTGGCAACCAGGGAAGAAACGCCAAGTGACCATTGTGCTACAGAACGGCAGCCAGGGCTCCGCGTACGTCGATGGTCAGCGTGTGGGTGGGGATGAACAGTGTAAATTGGAAACTACGGATTCTAAAGTGATCTCCCACTTCTACATTGGAGGGGATGGAGACAGCGCAGAGGTCCAAGAAGACGTGTCTGTGACGGTGACGAACGTCCTGCTGTACAACCGCCCGTTAAGTTCCGCAGAGATTGGCGCCCTCAACCCGAATAAAGTCCTTATTCCACCTCTGGTGTCTGACAATGCCCAAGGAACCCTGTCGCAGTCTCCTGACGAGCAACCGCTGTCGGATCTTAAATCGATGAATGAAAATAAGGGTGTGGGCGGTGGCAGTGCATCCACATCAGCAGCGTCCACTGTAACGACTTCCTCAGGAAAAGAGCAATCCGCAAACCAGCTGTCGTCAGGAATATTTTCCGGTGGAAAAAAAAATGTGGATGGAGGTTCTCCATCCAATGATGACCAAACAGTGGGAGCGGAAGCTGGAGGTGCGGTGCAAGAAGATGGACCACCCCAAACTCCTGAGGTGAGCGTGAGCTCTGGTGAGGATGGGGAGACGGCGGGAAGAACGGATGGGCAGAAACGGGAGGAGATCCATCCACATAACGGGGAAGTAAATGCCACGACACTCAACACCAGCCTCGGAAATTTGTCGCAGGGGAATAACAGCGATTCCGGCACTGTGCGTGGGAGCGGACTGTTGCCGCTGCTTCTTCTGTTGGGACTGCGGGGGTTTGCGGCTCTGTGAGGAGTGACTGGCTGCCGCGTGGGACACTTGCGACCTCCCCTGCACCGACACTCACGGTAATGAATTTATTTTCTTTAATAACTTTTTTTAATTCCCTGTTTGCTTTGCTGTGCGTTTTATATCCCCCATTTCTTTGCTTTTTTTGCTTTTGGGGCAATCACTATGGACGTTTTTTTCTTTTCTACTCTTCCCTCTTTAATTGTTTCTTGCTGCACTCTTCCTGTGAGGGGTGCCGTGTGTTTCCGCCCAACTGCTCCACTCGCACACCCACCGACACGCTCATGACGACGGCCCTGTGCGCCTCGCCTGCTGCACGCATGAGGAGGGGCCGCGACGAACGGCGCGCTGAGGGAGCCGTGACGTGTGGGCGTGCGACGAGGGCCTGTGGGGCGGCGCACACATTTCTTCCCTCCTGTTTTGTTTCGTTGCGGCCAGGGCTGGCAGACACCCGCAGCGCCACACACACAGCCACACCCTGCCGCCGTGTTTTTATTTAAGGATTTGTTTTTCTTTGCGTGTTTATTTCATGCGGTGGCGCACCCTTCGGTGTCGGCCTCGTGAGCATTTCTCTCCCCTCCGATGATTTCTTTTTCTTTTGCTGCGCTCACTCTCCCGATGGAGTGACGCGACTGCCGTCATGTCTGCGTGCTTCTCTCAGTCCCCACACACACGAGTGACTGTGCTCTGCGGGCCGCACTCACGCGCCGATGGGAGGGCTGAGGGGAGCAGCAACACGCAGATGACCCCATGAAATATAAACGGTGTGCGGGCACATGGAGGCTCGGACGGTTGAAGCATACGCAACCATCTTTTTAATTTTCTTTTGGGCAAAATACATACAGACAGTTTGGTGTGGCCACACGGCAGCCAGGCGATTTTTTTCTTATTTTAAATTTGTGTGGAGGAGTAATGGACGATTTCTTTTTCATTTATAATTATTTTGTGTGATGGGGTTTACGTAAGACGAAGGGGGACGTTTTTTTGTTTTCAATAAATATTGTGTGGATTGCCGCTGCTTGGGCCGCAGTGCAGTGATGAGTTTGAGCGGTCTTCTTGTTGTTGTTTCCGTTATGCGTCCCCGCTGTACATTTTTGTGCGTCGCTCCACATACTCTGCTCCCTCTTTTCCACTTCTTTGCTTTGTGTTTCTGCAGGCACACACAATCACACACACACAAGATGCACGTTGCAGTGGATTTGAATGCTTCTTTTGTAGTGCATGCTGGCAGTTGCGTGTGGCGGCTGTTGTCTTCTTCCGTGGCCATGAGGAGGGGAGAGAGGGAGTGCAGCCCGAGTCTATTTTCCTGTGGGTGTGATGCGCCGCGTGTGACTGCGCTGAGTTGGGCTCCGTGTCCCATTGATGGCGGGATGGCAGGAAATTTTGCGCCGCGTCATGGATGGATGAGGGTTCGCTTGCTCCGTGTGCGTTGCGTGGTGGCCGCGGGGTTTTGCCATTTCCCTGGGGCTGCGGGAATGAGCTGGGGGAGATGGTGGTGGATGTCTTCTCCTCCTGCATGGTGGGTGGCTGCTGACGTTGTGTGCCTCCTTGCGTGGATGCCGTCTCGTGGTGTGTGGACTGTGCGGCTGGAGCTGCTGCCCTCTCATTTTGCCTGCTTTCTCTCGCTGTATCCGCTGTGCACCGTCCCTCTCCCTTTCGTTCCATTCTTTCCCTTCCGTCTCACCGATCAGCTGACTGACACCGGCGACTCCACTGCGGGCGATGATGACTGCGATGGTGACGGTGCGGCGCCGTGTTGGTCCTTGCGCTCTTGTGCTGCTGCTCGTCCGTGTGTTTGCTGCTGGGAGTCCTGGACATGTATCTGGTGATGCGGAAGCGGTGGTTGTGCCGGTGGATGTGTCGTGTGCTCCGAGTGACGGCAGCCTGAGCTATCGCGTGCTTGCTTGTTTTGTGGGCGTGGAAGAAGTGTTCTGCTGCCGGTGCTGAGGTTCAGTATGAGAATTATACTTTCAGTGGCCTTGATGTGCGCATGCATGGCAGGAATGGTGAGCTGTGTGCTGTGTGCCATGTAACCAATGCGGTGCACACATGTAGCAACTGTGCTGCCAGCTGTGTAGCGGAAGAGGAAGAGACCACCGTTGCCTTCACGATGAATGTGACGACACATAAATACGCCGGTCCTTATGAATTGTGGTGGCGT